CAGCTACTAGAAGAGGAACTACGTTAAGTTAGGAGTTAGGAGCCATCAGGCAAGCCTTAGGGCTTCGTTGTTCCTTTGCTTGAGGGTTTAGGGTTTAGGGTTGTTCCGTGGTTTGAGGGTTTTATTCGGCTGAAGTCGGCGTTGCTTAAATGGTTTACTTGTGGAGGTTTGCAGGGTGAGGTGGTTACATTTTGGGGCACCGAATGTGTGTGTGTGTGTGTGTGTGTTTGTACGTCTATAGATGTGTTATGTATATAGGCAAGATACATAGTGAGATCCGCTTGTTTTGGGAGTCTCCAAGAGAGTGTGTTGGTGTATGGAGGGGTGTGTGTGTGTGCACATATATATACATATGTAATAGGGTTCAAGTGTCAGGCGTTTACTATTCTGCAATCAGTCTCACCCGGAGCCTAAATTTCAAGGCTAAACCCTAGCCCCTAAGCCCTAAGCCCCCAACCCTGCAAATCAGCAGCCGCAGTGTTTCAGAGTTCACATGGTTTCGGGCTGGTAGGGTCCCATTTACAGCGCGGAACCCGTCAAAAGGGGGGGGGGGGGTAGGGCACAACTCCCGAGCATGCTGGAGTAGGTAACTAGGACCCAGAGCAGGCACTTTTTTCGTTTTTGTTTAGCGTGTTCCCTTACAAGCCCTTCTTAAACCAAAAAGGGTGCCCGTTTAATTCCTAGGTGACTCTTGGGTCCTAAGCCCTAAACCAAAACCCTCAACCCTTTTTATTCCTAGGTTCGCCTTGGGTCCTAGGGTTTAGTAAACCCTAAGTCCCAAGCCCTAAACCCTTTCTATTCCTTGGTTTACTCCTGGATCTACACAGGGACTCCAATACCCCGAATTCAGGTCCAGGTTCATTCCTTAAAGTATAAGAGGGTTCTATATATGGTGTAATGAATATTCCTCAATGAAGGGGTATTGGAGCCTCTGGGTAGTAAGTGCGGGGGTGCCTGAGGTGACCGCAGCCGAGATCGGTTTGCGGGAGCGTGAGAGGTCCCCCCGACCGCAGGACGGTCGTGACAGGTGGTAGAGTCTAGACTTCGGGATACTTGGAAACAGTTTCTATTTTTGGGGTACTTTAATTCCTAAGAATCAGTATAGTCTTCGCCGGGAAGACTTAAATCCCTAGATCAAAAAATGCCTGTTGGGAAACGGCTCACTTTCAGGGTTTCGGCTTTCATCTACAAGGAGGGGCCCCCTTACTTTTCTAACTGTAGTTAAGGGACTTATAACCTATTTAGGATCCTTATGACCCAATTTAGGGCTCTTATAACTCCACTTATATCTAGAGGGCCCCTCCTTGTAGGGCTCCAAGTAGCCCAAAGTAGGTAAAATCTACAGACTCTAGACGCCAATGTTTGCAACCCTAAACCCTAAACCCTAAACCCTAAACCCTAAACCCTAAACCCTAAACCCTAAACCCTAAACCCCCAGGGTAAGGCTTGGCAGCCCAGTGGTATCCTTTTCCTTTTTTTTGGTTCAAGGTTCCCTTCTACAGTAACCAACCACAAAAGAGTGCCCTTATTACAATATGGCTACTGGGCTTCCAAGTAGGGTTTTCAGGTGAAGCAGCAAAATTTCCTCCCCACCATCGGAGCTGCCTTGGGTGGCAAACTTCGACACGCGAAGATGCTCCCCACTTTGCGTATGCAAAACTCTGGAAGGGAATTCCTTAGCTTAAGGCTCCGAGGACTCTTACTTTCAGGTTTTTTGGGCCCAGAGGCCTCAGTATCAAAGGTTTTGGGCTGTTTTTTTGAGCTTCAGTGTTAGAGCAGCTGTGGGATTCTTGAGCCAAGGGTTTGGGCCCACGATGAGCCGCCCTGTTCGGTGAGGACATCCTCTTGCCAGCAACCGACTGAGCAGAGGCATCTCTGTCCTTAGTTTCTAGACGCTATCCGCGACTTTAGCTTACTGAGACTTCTTGACTTGTCTGCCAGCGAGCCATGGATTGCAGACCTCTCCCCAAATGTGTCCAAGAGAGACGCCGCAAGTGGAGACTTGGATGTTGCCGTTCTCAGCTGTACCCTGAACCCTAAATATGTTCTCCTGGATCGACTTGTTTCTTGGGCTCATCGTACGAGTTTGATGATAGCAGCGCAGGGTACAGGTGGGCAGATGGGAGGCGTGCGTCTTGGGGCTATGTGCTGGGCTCTTCTTAAGGAACTTGGCTCAAGTTGGAGACTATATCATGCACCCCTATCCCCACGCCCTAAACCCTAAACCCTAAACTCATGCCCCAAACGCGAACCCTAAGCAATAGGAAGCTTGCCCACATGTATTCACCTGGAACCATATTCGGCATCATGTGAAGTAGGTTTTAGTTATTAGGATTCCCAAAAGACCATTTTTCCTCTCGCCAATATTTGTCAGGAACCTTGAACACACTCACCAATCACAGAAATACAAACCCTGCTTCATGTGTTCCTGCGGTTTTGATGGTATTCCAAAATAGACTCTGGCAAAAAGAGAAGGGTGCGCCAGGGAACTGAGCGTTTGAATTTCCCCTAAACCCAAAAGCCTAAACCCCCCCACCGACCACGGCAGAAAGTAAAACGTGAACTGCAACCGGCAGCATTTTGTACAGAGAGCGTTGGCCGCTGGCTCTGAATCCGTATTGCCCTGAGCCCTAAAATCCTTGACAAAGCCCTATGTGGGGGCTGTCATACTTTTGGTGCCCTTTGAGTGCCCCTAAACCCCAAACCCCAAATCCCGATCCCTTTAGAGAGACTCTACTACACGTAGAATCCCGGTCACCCTCCCCCCCCCCCCCCCCAGCAGCCACTCCCGCAACCTTGGTAACTCCCCCCCCCCTGAGGAAAGTTCGGGTTTCAGGTCTACCCTAAACCCTAAACCCTAAACCCTAAACCCTAAACCCTAAACCCTAGGGTTTAAGGCCAAGGTCTCCCTCCTGTCTCTTTTCCCATCACTATCATCGTATTGGGGCGCACACCCCCCCACGATGCCCGGAATGGTTAGCACTTCTACCCTCCATAGGTTCAGTTTGAGGGCCCAGCCCAGGCTAAACCCCTTAGGATTTCGGGTTCTTTGGGTTTGTGCGGCTAGTTTGGCCCTTGAAACCATCTGAAAGAGATTCAGAAGTATCAGAAGCAACAGGCAGCCGAGAATCCGTCAACGCCAATGCCAATAGAGGGCCTTTCGACCAACCCTGGCCCCCAAGGGTTGAGGTTTTAGGTTTATATGGGCTTTACGGTTCAGGGCTTAGGCGTTAGGTTTTAGGGTTTACGGTTTAGGGTTTTGGATAAACCCGTAAAACTGGAATCGGTTGAGGGTTTATAGGGAGCAAGCGAATTCAACTCCTTCACCCCCAGCACCCTAGTTCCCTTTGGGGCTCAAATGGCACAAAGCATCGCTCACCACTTGGAAGCCCTTTTGACTTAGTATGGTTACTTAGTATCACCTAGAAACCCTATAATCATGTCACAACCCGGCTTACTAACCCTGCTGATTGCGTCACAAGGGCTTCCAAGTAATCCTGTGTCCTCCACCGCTCGTCCGTGCACAAGTCGGGATGACGAGTGGCCTGGAGCAGCGTGCACTCTAAGCCCGATCGACGCCCTAAACCCACCGACGTGGCGCGGGCACTTGCCGCTGCTAAACCCTGAGCCCTAAACCCTGAAACTCTAAACCCGACATCCTAAAACTCCACCCACTCAAACCCCCCAGAAGTCCCTGAAGTCAGGTTGTAGCCATGCTTCAGCCAGCCCCTCTCGCGACCTTCTGACACAAAGCCAAGCTTGGGTTTAGGGTTTAAGGTTTAGGGTTTAGGGTTTAGGGTTCAGGGTTCAGGGCTCAGGGTTTAGGGTTTAGGGTTTAGGGTTTGGGGTTTGGGGTTTAGGGTTTAGGGTTTAGGCGGTTTAGGGGGTTTAGGGGGTTTAGGGTTCAGGGTTCAGGGTTTGGGGTTTAAGGATGGGTTTAGGGTTTAGGGTTGGCCTGTTTGCAGTCGTTTCGGCTTTAGCCCTGCCTGCAGGACAACCACTTCCCACACATCCTCCCCCAACCCCTTCAAGCCTACCCCGAAACCCTAAACCCTAAACCCTAAACCCGAAACCCCTTCAAGCAAAATCTTTTGTCAAACTAGACCACCCAGCCGCAACTACATAGTTGAACCCTGAAACTTGAGGCCATATACCCTACACGATTACAATCTCGATCATAAGGTAATCAGGATCTTAAACCCTCAGCCCTCAACCCTAAACCCTCAACCCTAAACCCTAAACCCTAAACCCTAAACACTACCATGTCGGAGAGTTCTGCGGAGAGCTCTGCGGAGAGATCTGAGACGTCCTCCCAGCACAGCCAATCGGACAATTGCCGCAAACTCTGGCAGCGCAAGGAACCTTGGGTTTAGGGTTGAGGGTTTAGGTTTTCGGGTTTAGGGTTTAGGGTTCAAGGTGTAGGGTTTCGGTTTGGTAGCCCAGGGCCCAGGAGTACTCTGTTTCCCCTTATTTTGGGTGCCGGGCTGCCTTTTAAAGTCACCAGCCCCTCAAAAAGCGGTGCCCTGATTATATTAGGACCAGGAGTAGGCCCTTTTTCCTTTTTTTAGGGTAAGGGTTCCCTTATACTCCCTTAAAACCAAAAAGTACCCAATTTTATTCCTAGGTTACTCCCGGGTCAAGTATAACATGGTCACTGGGATACCAAGGAACCCGGATCGTACTTTGCAGTTTTCGTTTTGCACGCCACAGCCACAGCTCTGCTATTTCCAAAGGACTATGGGTACGACTCATGCGAGCTGGTGGACAAGTTTTCCTTCGTCTGCAGCATGATGCTCACGAGTTTCGGTGCATGTTGCGTGGCGGTGTTCCTCAAGAAGAGGGCTGGAGAGTCGGGACATGCCCAAAAGGCCTTTCGTTACTTGGCTCTTTTTTTTCAGGCGGGCTCTTAGGCTTTTAGCCTTTGGGGTTTTTGTAGATGCTACAATAAAATAAGAAGCCTAAAAGTGAAGAAGTTCCGAGAGGTTCAGAAGTCAGCCAAGGGTACTCAGTGGCCAACTGGCTTCAAGCCCTGCTGGGTTCCCTTGACTTCCGCATGAGGGATGATGGCGGTGGGCTTACGTGCAGCTATGGCTTCCTCATATCAGGCCTGGCTTCCCTAGTGGGGTTTAGGGTTTAGGGTTTAGGGTTTAGGGTTTAGGGTTTAGGGTTTAGGGTTGGGGTTTAGGGTTTAGGGTTTGGGGTTCAGGGTTCAGGGTTCAGGGTTTAGGGTTTAGGGTTTAGGGTTTAGGGTTTAGGGTTTAGGGATATCAGGCCTCGACCATCTGCAGTTGGCCTACTCTTGGTCAATGCTGGTGACCGTGCTTTACATGGGCTGCTTGCTGTGGATGCAGATGCTCATTGCGGCAGCCTTCAAGCTGCTGGAGCGAACCTCAAACGGAAGATATTGGAGCAGGTGCATTCACAAGCTCGTTTGCGTTCAAGCGATCTGCATCACGGTGGCTATCGTGCTTTTCTGCGTCAAGGGAGGGGCCTTTGAAAGCGCCGGCCCTCATTGGCTCGACGCATACGTTGTGGTGCAGACGACGACCTTTTGTTGCAACATGGCAACAGACCTGATACTTGGTCATATTGGTACCCTTTTCCCAGGGTTTAGGGTTTAGGGTCTAGGGTCTAGGGTTTAGGGTTCCTTTGCAAGATGGTTACAGGGCTACCAAGGATAGCAATCTGCTCCCTTGCGCGATGCTTCCTCCAGTTGCGGAGCATCTCACGCCTGGCGAAGCTTCAAGAGATTTCGCCAGCCGTGACTTGGCTTGGGGTTTAGGGTTTGGGGTTTAGGGTTTGGGGTTTGGGGTTTGGGGTTTAGGGTTTAGGGTTTAAGGTTTAGGGTTTAGGGTTCTGGCTGGCTCTTAGGACTTTACTTTTTGGGTTTTTGTAGAAACTACAGTAAGGGGCCTAAAAGCTATAAACTTTTAGGAGGGGTTCAGAAGTCAGCCAAGGTGAGATCTTCCTTGAGACAAGCGCGGAGGTTTGCAGCCTCACAAGCCGTGGGTGTACCTGGGACCCTATTTACCTACAGTTGCTAAGGCTTATACCCCTACTAAGTAGGGGTATATATACTACTAACCCTAAACCCGAAACCCTAAACCCTAAACCCTAAACCCTAAACCCTAAACCCCTAAGGCAAAATCATGGGGTCCCAGGTCTGCTTCATCCTGGTCTTCATCATTTGGGAAGTTGTGGAAGGCCTGGCAGCCCAGTGGTACCCTTTTTCCCTATTTTTGGCTCAAGGTTCCTCTTATAAATTTAGGGTTTAGGGTTTAGGGTTTAGGGTTCAGGGTTTAGGGTTTAGGGTTTAGGGTTTAGGGTTTAGAGTTAGGGTGCCCTTATTTGAGTGTGGTTACTGGGCTTCCATGAAGGATGGCTGCCTGGCAGGGCGATTGCAGATCTTGTTTGGGAAAGAAGTGTGCGGCAACGTGTGAATTCCCTGGGGCACGCCATCGCTGTGCTTCTTCTGTCCGGAATTTACAGGTTACCGAAGGAAGGCAGCCAAACAAGATCAACTGCATCAGCCGGTCGGCGGACATCTTGCCGGATTTGCCCCACAAAGCCCGCAGCTGTGGCAAAAGCAACTTGCTCGAAAAGGTACACGCTGCAACATTCACTGCGTATACAAGCCTTCAAAATCAACCCTAAACCCTAAACCCTAAACCCTAAACCCTAAACCCTAAACCCTAAACCCTAAACCCTAAACCCTAAACCCTAAACCCTAAACCCTAAACCCTAAACCCTAAACCCTAAACCCTAAACCTGAACCCTAGCTAATTAGCAAGGAAGCCGCATGGAGTCCAAGCTGGCGAGAGAAAGTTCACGAGTTATCCGAGCGTGGGATGACCCTGCATAGCCTGCTGCAGTTTTATTCAGATGCTTGGTTTAGGGTTTAGGGTTTAGGGTTTAGGGTTTAGGGTTTAGGGTTTAGGGTTTAGGGTTTAGGGAGTTTAGGGTTTAGGGCTGTTTAGGGTTTAGGGTCTAGGGTTGGTAGCCCAGTGGTGCCCTTTGGCCCTTTTCCTGGGTTCTGGATTCCCGTATACAGGTAACCAACCCCCAAAAGGGAACCCTAAACCCTAAACCCTAAACCCTAAACCCTAAACCAAGGATGACCTCTCTTCCATACCGGATTGGAGATACTCGGTCTTGAAATCATGGAGAATTCAAACATTTCCCTTTCTTCTTCATGACAGGGAAATCTGCTGAGAGACTCCCTTCTTAAACCCTAAACCATGCCCGGAACCCTAAACCCTAAACCCCAAACCCCAAACCCTAAACCCTAAACCCCAAACCCCAAAACCCAAACCCCAAACCCTAAACAACCCAGGCTACGCGCCCAAGGAGCACAAGACTCGAGATGTGGTCCGCAGGGTGATCATCCCCCGCACCAGCCGAGCTATGGCCAGGGTTTAGGGTTTAGGGTTTAGGGTTTAGGGGATTAGGGGATTAGGGGATTAGGGTTTAGGGTTTCGGGTTTAGGGTTTAGGGTTAGGGGTTTAGGGGTTTTGGGTTTAGGGCTTCGGCTTAGGGATTTGGGGTTTAGGGTTTGTGGTTTCAAGGTGTTTAGGGGTTTAGGGTTTTGGGGTTTCTAGGGCGTTTAGGCTTCAAGGTTAGTATAGGCTACCCGGAGGCCCCTTTTTGGGCTAGATACTTGGGGGATTAAGGTCCGTTAGGTAGGGCTTTGAGTGGACTTTGGTTTCAGAGGGGTTCCGGTTGAGGGCCCTAAACCCTAAACCCTAAACCCTAAACCCTAAACCCTAAACCCTGGACCCGAGGGCTTTGATCTAGCCGGGCTTAGGGCTGTCAGGGTTCGGCAGTGTCCTCGTCGTTTCTTTTTTGGGGTGGTTGGCTTCCCTACCATGTATACCAGGATGCCCAGTAATACCCTTGTTCCCTTTTTAGGGGCTTTAAGTTCCCTTATATACCTCTTTTAGCAAAATGGGCCCGCTTTGTATTCCTAGTTTACTGGGCAACCCTAGTAGATTAGACACTCAAACCGGGACTTGTTTGCATGGGGCATCGCAGATTCTAGGAGAAGAATCTGCATATGCGGTGTCGTCTTGGAACAGGGATGGTCCTCAACGGGCTGCGGTCATGGTCACTCACAACTGGGGCAACAGCTTCTAGACAATTCGGCAATGTTTGTTTTTGTCGGTTCTGTATCCTCATAGCCATGAAGTAACCCGAATCAAAGTGTCCTTCGGCCACCTGAAACCCTAAATCCTAAACCCTAAACCCTAAACCCTAAACCCTAAACCCTAAACCCTAAACCCTACAGAGGCTTCAACGATCTACTGGCAGCAGTCATCTCGGATGCTCTGCAGGAATGCAGTTTCAAGCTGGCAGCACGGCTGCTGGAGGAAGACTGCACCTTCCTTGGCGAGATCCTGGGTAACTTGGTAGCCCAGTGGTACCCTTTTCCTTTAGAGTTTAGGGTTTAGGGTTTAGGGTTTAGGGTTTAGGGTTTTTGGTTCAAGGTCCCCTTGTACAGTAACCAAGCAAAAACGGGTGCCCTTATTCTAATATGGTTACTGGGCTTCCAAGGAAAGGCCGGTCACTTATGTGGAACATACTGGATTTGTGCTTTTGCGGTGAACCAGCATGTCAGCATTTGCCACAGCAATCCTTTTGACCGGGATCCTTTAACGGATCAGCTGCACCCAGTGTGCTCTTGCAGCTGCGTGAACATCTCCGATCCCGATGGGCAAAGTACTTTGTCAGAAATTAACAAGTTCGACGACATGATGTATCATCTGGCAGCAACCGGAGGCTGCAGGCAAGTGATTGCGGTCGACCAATCTCTTGACTTGTTTCATCGCGCTTGGTGTGTGGCTGAGATAGCTGAAGCCAGGCGCCTGCAAATGTCTCAGTCGTTAAAGCTCGTATCCAAACTGGCCATCCAACAGCGCGCTCGGAAGTTGGAGGACCTGGATGTTCGGAGTATGCAAGCGTCCTCTGACAGGGACAAAGAGCTCATTCTTGCCAGGATTGGGAATGTTGATGAGTTCAACACCGAGCTGCAGTCATTGATTTTTGACCCAAAGTCAGGCCTCCTTGCGTCCTGGAAGGCCATGGATAGTCTGCAGCAGATGGGAGAAGTGGGTCGGCTCATTCGATGGGGCCTTGCTGATGCTGGCAGCGGAAAGGTCTGGAAGGCGTGGGATTGTCATGATGTTTAGGGTTTAGGTTTTGGGGTTTAGGGTTTAGGGTTTAGGACTCAGACAAAGGCACAAGACCTTGGTCCATGAATGCTCAACGCAATGGCGCAACACGCGCCCCGAGCTTTGTCAAAACTGTGGGAGACTTTGCGGTCGGTCTTAAGGACCCTAAACCCTAAACCCTAAACCCTAAACCCTAAGCCCTAAACCCTAAACCCTAACCCCTAAGCCCTAACCCTAAACCCTAAACCCTACACAACCCAAAACCCCTAAGCCCTGAAACCGTGAACATCAAAACCTAAACCCTAAAGCCCTAAACCCGAAGCCCTAAAACCATCAACCCCTAAAGTTTTGAGGACCCTGCTTTGTTGTCCCCGGATGCATGTCAAACAGTGCTTGTCGCAGTGGCAGTCAGAGTGTCTGTACGTCTGCAAAAAAAGGGGTTTAGGGCTTTAGGGTTTGTAGGGTTAGCGTTTAGGGCGAGGCTGTATGCTTTATGTCAAAATCTGTGGAATAGAAATTGGTTGCTACAAGTACATTCTTGCTTCAGTAGACTGTAGCATGCTATGGTCGGCTGGAGTGAGTATATCAACGCCCAAGTAGCGGCAGCATGACAGTTGCTGGTAGTACGTGGTAAAGACTTTGGACCCATCTTCTGGTTCTGACCTTATTGAGACCCTCTATTCCGCATCCTCCCAGGGGCCCCTCTCATCCTATCTGCCTGTCCTACCCAAACGAAACCCTTCAAACCCTAAGCCCTAAGCCCCCCAAACTCCCTAGACCTCTGAGGGTAGTTTCATGGGCCCTAAATATGGTCCCGCTTTAAAAGGTTCTGACGTATGGACCCTTACTTTGTACAGGGTATATCAGGGGAAAATCAGGGGTTCACTTTTCAGGGACTATACTAAGGGAGCATGAAACTACCCCAAGACAACCATCCCAATGACCCTGAAGGCTTTTAACGGTCAACTACGTCTTCTGCTCGGCGCCCGACAATTCTCTGGAGGGGAATCAGCTGGGCTTTTTATGGCTTAGGGTCGCTTGGGTTTTGGGGCCTTAAACCCTAAACTCCATACCCTACACCCTAAACCGTTTTTGGGTTCAGGGCCGTTTAGGGTTTCCAGGCTTCAGAACTCCCTCCCCGATTTTCTAGGTTAGGCTTGAGTGTAGGGAATGGGGTTTAGGGTTTAGGGTTTGGGGATTAATGAGGGTTTAGGGTTTAGGGTCTAATTAGGGTAAACCTCAAGCCCAAAGTCCTCGAGTTCTTCGAAGAAGGCTGTGTCCCGCATCAAATGGCGACCACTGCCTTGTTGAAATGCGAAAGACAGAGCTATGCAACCAGGGTCGCACCTTCACTGGGCAGACCACAACCTAAACCCTGAACCCTAAACCCGAAACCCGAAACCCTATGCCGACGCTGCTGGAGGGGACTCTGTCTGCGAGATCGTTGGCAGAACTTGGGGACTGACGGGCTGACGGACTAAACGTAAACCCTATGGTTGAGGGTTTTACGGTTTTCGGGTTTTTGGGTTTTCTTGTTCAGGGTTTGAGGTTTCGGGTTTAGGGTAGGGTTTCAGGGTTTAGGGTTTTACAGGGTTTAGGGTCTGAGGGCATAAGGTTTTTGCGGCTCAGGCTTTTTTAGGTTGTAGGGTATGTAATTAGCTGAACATCCCGGACCCAAGCCCAGGGCAGACGAGGTCCATCTTCGTCTCAGGGTTAGGTTTAGGGTTTGGGTGTTTATGCCGAGAGAGTCCTCCCTCATAGTTTCGGGGGTGAGGCCACATGCCTTCCTGGCGGCGCACCTGGTGGGGTTGGAAAGCTCGGCCAACGAGGCGGCGGGGTGGGTTTAGGGGGTAGGGCTTCCCTAAACCCGAAACCCTAAGCCCGGATTTCAGATTTTTTGGCGGTCTTGGGTTTGGTCATTCGCGCCTTTGTTGCTCAGGGCTTCGGGAATCTTGCAAAGCTTAAAGCCTCTAGAATCTATAAAGTCCTGAATCCCCAATTTGACTCCCGGTTTAGGGTTTTTGGTTTTGGGGTTTTCCCCCTAATACTAACAGTCCTTAGTTGGGGGGGGGGGGGTGCATTTAGGGTGTTTGGGGGGACTCCGGGGTCCACTGTGCAAAGGAAACCCTAAACCCTATGCCCTATACCCTATAAACCCTAAACCCTATACCCTATAAACCCTGAACCCTAAACCCTTCTAATGTGTTTTGGCTGTTCTGCGCTTCTTGCTTGCTGTGAGCACACCAGCTGGCAACCTTGAGAAGGTATGTCCCCCTTAGCAGGTATCAGCTGAGTGACTCGCGCAGCCTTGAGGTACGCAGCCTCTTCCTGCGCAACGTGGAGGTGGCCCTGGGGGCCATTTGCATCAAGAAGGAGCGGCCACTGCAGAGTTCCGGAGATTGCAACTTTCGCGTATGAGGGGCCGACGGATTGTGACGTGTTTAGGTCACCTTTCCTTGTTTGTCGTCCTTTCAGTGTGGGCTTTTGCAACAAATTCAACTGGATTGGGTTGGGACCC